ATCTATTGCTGCACTAAATCAAATCCATCGCAAAAACTACATTTAACATATGATGGTACTGATGACGTAACCGTGGAAATATTCACTTTGTATTAAATGGATACTGTTTGCCATCATCAAGTATGGATTTATCCTTGGGTCAAGGATGAAATATCGAATACACGGAAGTATATAAAGAAGGAACAAAACTTTGATGACTAAAAAGAGGGCCCTGGTGTTGCTCTTTTCATATGTGCACAATTGGCACGAGAGTTTAGTTGGGACAGCTATAAGGTTGTCTTTCGTCAATACAAACAAGACCAGCCAGATCTTGATAGTGATGAAGAAAAGATAGATCACTGGATTGAAACTTTCTTGCAGCAAGTAGTTTTGGGATTTTCCAATTCCACTATCAACGATCGATTCTCATAGCGATCTGAAGATTCTAGAAATCTCGGATGAATTCATCGGTATGGCACCAGAATATTATCAACTATAGGTTTTTTTTTCTAATGAATACAGGAAACAATACAGACATATGTGTCGATTCGTTTAACTGAGTTACATACCAGTATGATACATATTTTATTTAACAATAGAAATCAAATAAGATTCATATTTGGGCACTAGTCCCTAGATTCTTCGTGGCTGATTGTACGAATTTCAACTCAACTTTTTTGTATGACGGTGTGAATGGGTTTGGGTCTTTGTGAAAAATAGCCATCCACACCCTTGTGCACACATACAAAGAGATAAAAAAAGAACTAAGATATACAGTATAGATAGAGAATTACTAGAGGATTATAATGGTAGATGTATAATCAATCTATATCAACCTATAGTATATAAAAAAAATAAGAAAACACATCATCATGAAATAAAATGAATAGAAAAAAAATCAAATTTTCAGTTGAATTTTTGATTTGTTGGACTATATCTTTCAAGATTTAGTATCATTTGTCAGTTGACATCTTGAAAAACGAAAAAAATGTGTCGGAAAAGCGAGTTCATTTAGAAGTGCAAGATATATTGTCTTTTCGACAGATGCTATCTGCTGTATTTATTGATCAGCATTAAAGGATCAATAATCTCTCATCAAAGAACAAAACTCATCAGAATAAGAATTTGATTTAAGAAGAAAATTATAGTCTTATTTCACGGAGCTTGTAACAGCCTTGACATAGAACATCATTTGAAAAATGTCGAGAAAATTGATGTTGTTTCTTAACGGCATATGCAAATTTTCTCGAGAATTTGTCGTATGTAAGCGACGTAATATATTAACTTATTGAATCGATATTTCAATTTTTGTTTTCCATTGATTGATGATGAAAATTAATTTATTGATAAAAGAATTTCAATAGATGAAATAAATGACAAGTAAGAAAGGACGTATTCTATTTCCATTTGCAAATAATTTAAGATAAACATTTGCAGATAAATATAATTTAAACGTAAGATAAAACGATTTCAACGATTTACATTTATTCTTGCTATTTGAGCAGGAAATGGTCTTACTTGATGTTTGAATATTGAAAATTTGAAAACAAATTCTTTGATATGCTTTCGAAAGGTTTTAGATGCAAATAAATATACCCAAAAAGAAATTCCATTAGTAAAATAAGTAAATAGAGTAAGAACAAGTAAAATAATATATTCATATGCTAATCGTAATATTGTCTTCAAAACATATTGTGTAATCAAAATATAACAAAAGTAAAAGCCTGCTGGTATACCACTAATTAATAAAATACACATTTGAACAAGCATCATTCGAGTTACTACAGCATCTAATGTACGACGACGTCTTAAAAGTCGTTGTAAATTATACCAAGTCAAAAAAAATAAAATCAATGTGAGAATAATTGGTAAAAAATAATAACCAATTATAATCCAATAGTTACCATAGAGACTGATTAAAGGTAAAGAACTAGTACAGACAAATGTTGTACTTGATGTACGAATATGTGTATAATATATAGGATATGGTAAGAAAATAAGAAGCCAAATAATTGCTGTACATAAAATTATTATTTGTGCACGAATATGTGTGATTAATCGATGCCATCTGATTCTTGGTGATGTTAAAAGAAATTGACCAAGAGCTGCAAAACAATTACACATAAAACTAAAACAACCACACGAATAAGTAAACCAAGTACCAGCTTTACACCAAAATAACCATCGATTTGATGGATCAATACCACTATATACTCGTATAACGGCTGAAGAAAGACCAATATTGATAAAAAAGAAACTACCAACTGATGATCCAATAATGAATAAAGCATTTGGATGTTTATTCAAAGGTGGAATACAAAGAAAAACTAAACAATTACAAAAATTTCCAATTGTACCCACAATAATAATTGACAAAGCGACAGTTTGATAAAGACGATCTCCAACATAGAGAATATAAAGAGCCGTGGCTAAATCAGAAGCCATTTTTAATTCATCTAAATAGACACTATACTTTAATTAAGCATAGCTCTAATGATCTCATATAGGCAGTGAATTATTACATGTGCATGACTAAAAAGATACGTCAAATCAGAGAAAAAGTGCACTTCTAATAAATGACGATTTAGATTAAAAAAGAAAAAAGACAATAATCTTTACCGTGTGCTTTTCGTGGTCATAATAAAGTCATTGAAGACAAAATGAGGAATATAATCAATCTTATCAAACAACGAATATCTTACATGAACAAAATATACATAAGTAAGATTGAAACAAGCTGTTTTCCGATATCTATCAAATACAAATTTCAGAAAAATTCCTAATTTAAATCGATTAGAAAAATATTATTATTATGCGAAATAGTGTTCATTTTTTCTGAAAAAAAATCTCTCTTGTACCAATTCTTAATTTATTCTCAAGGTTGTTTCTTTCAATGACGTATTACGTGCGTGTTAAAATTATAGATCTTACTAACTTCAATTAAGATATTTACATTGACATAAGAAAAAAAATGATTCACTTTTTTTTCTTCTAAAATAAGAGATAATTAGTTGTATTTATAATGCGTCAGCAATTAATAAAATTATTGTTTATTTTCAAACAATTTTTAAATGCTTAACTACGATTTTTCAATAGTAGAAAATAGTATAACTTGACTCTTGAAACCAGTATTTTCTGCAGATAAAGTTAAATATAATTTCTTTTGAAAAACGAAATTAAGTCATGTGTCATTATTTATCATTTAAAACATGTCAGAGGTTAAGGTAAGATCTCTTAAATATATCACTCTACATATCTCTAACTTTAAAAAAATGTTCATGTTCATTATTAAATGCATTTACTTCACATAAGGAAGAATAAATGTATTTACCTTTAAAACTAATTTTATTCAAAGTCAATTCAAATTATAGAATAAATACTTTTGATTTATTTTCTTTCCATCTATTCACAACATATATAATATGGCAAAATATTAATGATATGATCAACAGATAACTATTAGAATATATCTTTATGAATATTCAATTATCATCAAATATTAAAATGAATATTTTTCATGTGCTTGATTATATTTATATTTATAGATATGCCTTGTGCATTAGAATCTAAAAATTTCTCTAAGTCACATAAATCGGTAGAGAACATCGATCTGAAACGATGTTTAAAAGTATTGTTTTGTAATTATGTATTGTCGAATTCTCAAGCTTAAATGGATTAAAATAAAAGATTACAAAATAATGCTTGGTGAATCTCAGTTTAATCTGAAAATTTTTTTTCTTGCTGCTCGAGTTGTATTCCTTAGTTAAATTGAGGCATATATCTACAAAATATAGGTGCCTGATGAAGTTGAACTAAAGTTAGTGAAAATTTGTCTCCTCTAATTGAGAGATCTATCAGCTTCATTTCAACTATTTATAGGTAAACTGATGAAATAACAATCATTTGATAATTATCAGTTATAAATCTGGATTTTAGTTTTGTTTAAATAATACTAGGGGTGTCGTATTAGCATTAGTATTAGCATTAATTTAATACTAACACCAATATTCTTGTTTTCCGTTCCTAAGAAAAAGTATTTGAATTTGTATTGATTAATATAAGGTTAGACGCAGCCAACAGTCCTGATTAATTCCAATAATTTTGTGTTACAATTTTAATATAAAAAATTGTAACTAATAATAAGTTAATACATATATAGTATTAATTTATATTAGCTACAATACTTTTATATTAAAATTGTAACACAAAAGTATTGGAATTAATCAGGGGTGCTGACTGAGTCTAACCTTATATTAATCAATATAAATTCAAATACTTTTTCTTAGGAACGGAAAACAAGAATATTGGTGTTAGCATTAATTTAATGCTAATACTAATGCTAATACGACACCCCTAAATAATACATAATGAAAACTTTAATAAAGAATGGAACTATGAATAATTTTTTTTTATTGACCTCAGTCAATGACAACCATGATGATGACGATGCTGACTTGCATGCTGCGATGTAGCCGACACCATCAGTAAATGATTTCAGTTCATTGGTATAAATTGTTGATGCAAAAGTGAATTATTTTGTCGACCAGCAGCTTGTTGCACCTGCTACTGTACAATGTGTTGATTGGTCTGCAGCGTAGATTCATATGATTAGGTTATAGTTAGTAACGTCAATTGATCATTTTGTGGAGAATCTATGACCTATATTTGACATATGGCTAGTAGAAATACGATGTTATATATCGAATGGGTAGTGAATTGGAATGAAAAAGCATGACAACATATAACTATGCAAACATTAGGTGATTGAAATATCCCAAGCTGATTAGATATGCGTATTTGGATAAGTAACTAATGCTTTACCTAGGTCATTTGTTGTTACAGTTAATCATACAATGAAGGAAAAGAAAACGTTGTTCTATTTTTCTTTTTCAACTAGAGTCATTTTTAATTGCTACTCACTTAAACTTCCTCATATACATATCATGCAGAACAAAATAAAATGTGCTCTATACATGTGATAACATTTGTGCCATTTCCCTGTGCATCAAATTTTATAGAAAATAATAGCTGTTCTGAAAAAGATTTTCAACATTCTGACCGTGATAATATTTGATTAAAGTTGGCATCGAAAATTGTCCTATTAGTCGAATATACTTTCAATAACCACAGGTTAATAATTATTGCTGCCGGAATAAGACTTTGCATGGCGTGTTTTCCCGACGTGTGTGACCTCCATAAGTCGTTAAAATCACCTTATTTTTAACGATTAATTGACGATTTTGTAACTAAAAGGATTGTTTTTCACTAGCTAACAAAAAAAAACAGTTGTTTCAGATGAATTCGATAGTAAAGAGGATTTCATGATTTCTATATTATACTTCAAGATAGAAACTTTAGACTGACCATTAGTTGGGCGATTAGTTTCAACCATTAATTGATAAAGATATATATTTATTATAGAAAAACAGATTAGCGGTTTCAGTCTTGATTTTTGGTCGGAATTCTCACATGAGAACATGCGTGTGTTATGGTAACTATAGTGCCATTCTCAAAATAATGTATATTCTTTGCGACCGATGGATCATTTAAAACGAATATAGACTCAATGTTTTTCAATACCTGAGAGAATTTATATTGATCTTGATTAATGTTTAAGTTAGCGAGAAAAAAATATCATCTTAAAATAGCCTTGATATATCACAATTGATAACGAATATGAATGTGAGTGTGAGTATGGGATTTGGGTATTCTATTCGACATAACCCACATTCACTGAAACGTATTAAAAATATACCATTATAATATGATTTTTTTTCTGGACTTGAATGAAAAAATCTATTTCTTTAAACTTCTTCGGCGTTTTTCTCAAAATATGATTTCCAGACAGGAAAATTGAAATAACTGCCTCCCGATTCAAACTATAATCAATATTTTGTTTTTGTTTGAAAGGTCCAAATGAGAGCTAACTTTTGTCCGGCCAAACTTTTTATACTGGATTCCTGGGCTGAGAAAAGTAAAATTTAGTGTCGTGGAAGTCACCTTTTTTTGTGCTTATTTGAACCCTATGTCTATTAAAATGCTCATAAAAAATGAATGGAAGAGAATTTCAAAATCTTGTTCGAGCAAAATTTGCGTACAGAGATTAGCTATAATTTGAAACCAGTTCGATCTCTGTACCTCTTATAGTAACGAAATTATGATGATTCTCCTAGTCCATATAAACAAGCTGGGAGTTTGGACTAGTGTGACATATTGGGCTGAAATTTTTACCGTAAACGTTTCTCACTAGGACCACTCATCCCTGAAAATTTCAGCTCAAACGGACCATTCTAAGTGAAAAATACACTGTGAGGGAGGAAGTCTCTTAAAAGTTCTACTGGTATCTGCCGAATCAATATCTTTTTATTACCCTTCAACTATCTTTGAGATCGTTCAAATCTAAAATACATTAGGAGGAGAAAACAAGAAGTTCGTCAATAGTCTCGCTGTGGAAGTAATTCTGAAAATTGCTTATAACCGAGAGAACAGTCGAAATCTGCTACCCGATCGGACCGGTCGACGGTTTTGGTTACATCTATGATGCTCGGTGCCATTGTTTGAGAATTCTATGAAACGGAGACTGTGACAAGCTCACAAACTTTAATCCTACGGAAACGATTATTTTTGAAGAAAAACTGAATCTGTGACTTTAGAACACTCGATTTTTCTTATGGTGATTGAATAGAAACCTTATTTTCTCTGCGAAATAGATATCTTTTAGTGTTTTTGAATTTTCGAAATATTTTTAGATTTTTTCAGGAAATTTTCAACTTTTTGCAGCATTGGGACTTTCAAATCATGCGTTTGAACATCTGCGACTGAGATACTTCTCTGGATTCGTTTGAGAGCATACCGGCTTCTTGAAAAGCTTCATTTTGAATGATCGTCGTTAGCGTTGCCACTTTTGGTGGGTAACACCGTTAAGGAATTAGGGAATTCATGTGTGACCATATATCTCTCTCCTCACATATTATAAGTGAAGATAGAAAGTCTGTCTAGAGCCTGCAACAAGTTTTCACTTCGCAAGTAATTATTTTGGGTTTTTGTATCGTTTAAGGATTTTTTTCGAATACTAACTTTTGTTGAACGATAATCGTGGCTATCTTTGGACACCTCTGATTACATGGTAAATTTTTCATCCACAACGTGAAACTCGTGAAAGGGCATTGCCCTCTCTGTAATTTTTTTCGTGGCTATGTCACTAAATTTTATAGAGCTTCGTAATCAAATTTTTGTAGTTGTCCTCACATGTGAAGGTTCGAAGTAATCTCAGATTTACTTTGCCTTTCAGATGTTTTGATTGAGCAATAAATCTTGTTCAGGACAATCATAAACAATGTTTGAAAAAATAATAATGTTTGCTCTGTGTTCATAATTTCTGGTTTGACATTCGTTCACTGAAGCTCATAAATATTTGAAACAATCTATTATTTTCTACATAAACG